GAAGTTACGTATGAGATGGGGAATAGATTGAAGGAACAAGAGATTTTTTTTTTAGTTATTTTGGGGATTTTCTACTGAATTTCAGGGTTATTTGTAGTTCACAGTCGATAACTGCATATAACGCTGGCATACACATGCACAAATGTCCCTGACTTTTAATTATACACAAATTACATATAAACATTTTATGAACATTACTTTTGCTCACATACCGAAGTAGACCTGCAAATCAACAAGGGACCTAGCCTGGTTGCCAGCCCGATCTCCGCCCACAACATTTTTTTGGTCGGGAAGTTCGGTCTGGACTCGATCCACTGAGGAGAAATTATGATCAGGCAAAAAATGAACAGGCCAATCAAATTGCCAGGGCGGGCTTTATACGATGATTGACAGATGATCTGCAGGGACGTGATCATCACGTTATCAAAGAGTGCTTGTCAAAGATGACTGCAGCTGGAGAATTGAGATGTATAGATTCCGCTGTCGCGTCTGTTGTAAAATAAAACGACAGCGCATTCATTTTAATAGACAAACAGAGAACTGCAATCAAGGCATTTGTCGATAGGAAAGATATTTTTGGCGTCCTTCCTACATGATTCGGGAAAAGTGTAACTTATCAGCTGGCTCTGACGGTCGTTAAGTAGATGGGACGTAATGAAAAGCCTGTGGTCGTTGTGGTTTCTCCTTTGGTGGCACTCATGGAGAAGTAAGTAAAGAAGCAACACTCGTTATTTAACTTCTAAAATAAATAAAGTTAGGCTACGTTCTGTATTTGAAAACTGCGCTATGCAAAGGAGTTGACTTATGCGTTGCTCTGATTGTAGGTCTACCGACTATCCAATTGGGTGCAGAGGTTTTTTTTTTTCCTGGTTCGGTTAAGACACGCCTCATAATCAAAGCCTAATAGAGCGGTTTCAGACTCATATTCTCTCTTGAATATGAGTATGACGAAGTCAGGCTACAAGGGACCCTTTATGCTTTAAAAAACACAAACCTTAGACTGACCATTCGCATTAGAGTGGATTCGGGGGACTCAAAGTGCACCAGATTAATGAATTTAACTTTAAAATTTAAAACAATTCTTTTTTTTACCCAGTACCGAGATCCACCTACAAAAATACTGTGGGTAACACAGTAGATTATATGATGGCCTATGAAAAATGCACATTTTATTATCTTATTAAAATACATGATCAAGATTTTACCACCTCTGCCTCATTTTAAGCCAGGAAAAAACCTGCATGCAATATAAAGTACTGGACAAATTTCTTTGTTTCTGCTTTATTGCTTTTAAAATAAATAGCATATTAAGCCTATTAAGCAAAAACCTGACACTTGGTATTACACATTCTGTCCCCCTCACTTTTGAAATGATGGCTATGCCCCTGCATTCACTACACTATGGGATTCTTACGATCCAATCAAGGTCTCCCATCGCCTTTGTAACTGGTGACACAAATCAGTAGAAAATAGTCTTTGAATCTTAGACCTTAGGACATATTGTAAATGCAGCCTACCCAGTTCCATCACTGTTTTACTATTGTCTTTTTAACTTTCATTTGAAAGCAAACCACCATGTTCATCTCTATATTCTTCAGTAAACTTTTTCCTCTGAAAAAAATGTTTTTCAAAAGAAAAATTTGGTTTGATTTCTTTAGTTACTTGGACTGTCTATACCTCCTACCACATGTCAGAGACCCCAATCACAGCAGAATTAGTGACACATCAGCTGCTAAACTAAACTTATTACAACAGTTGATTTACTGCATTGTTCCATGCTCATTACGGCATATGATTAATCTTCATATTTCAAGTACAGAACAGTATTTCCATTCTGTGATTTTAATATACACAACCATTCAAAAGTTTGGGGTAATTAAGAAATTTTGAAAGAAATTAATAAATCTAATAAATAATGTTACTTTTTATTCAGCAAAGAATCAAGCTATCACAGTTTCGGGAAAAATATTTAGCAGCACAACTGTTTTCAGCATTGATAAAAATAAGAAATGTTTCTTGAGCAGTAAATCAGCATATTAGAATGATTTCTGAATGATCATGTGACACTGAAGACAGGAATAAATGACAGTTTGAAATATATTAAAATATAAAACAGAATTTTAAATTGTAATAATATTTCACAATATAACTAATTTTACAGTGTTTTTGGTCAAATAAATGCAGTCTTGGTGAGCATAAGATACTTTTTCAAAAGCAATAAAAAATGGTACTGAAATATTACCCCAAATTTTTAACGCTACTCTATATTTTATTATTTGAGGTGATGCAGTTATATTGAAATATAACTTGATATTGTGCATTATATTTAATAATCACATAATGGCTGAATAGGATGCGTTTATTGTGTTTAAAAATCTATTTAACATTAATAATGCATGAAAAGTGAAAGGGAATTATATCAAATTTGGTAGAGGCATTAAATTTGTAAATATATTCTTTTTCACTTCAGCATTTGACCGATGGGTGGCATTCAGGTGAAAAGCAACAGTTAGATTGCAGTGAACATTAGCCTTAATGAAAACTTCTCCAACTTCAGGAGTCTTTCTAGCAACCACCATGTTACGAAGGATTTGTTCATTGAGTCATACTAAACAGATGTCTAAACTTTTGTTGTATACATGGACAGGCCTAATTTAAGTGGTTTAGCCCATACCTTTCACACTTGAACACATATAATAAACATTTACCTTCTTTTAAAAGGCTGAAAAATCCAAAACCGAGTTAAACAAGCTACAGAGACATTTGGAAACCCTAAAGCTTAGTCATCTGAAAAGAAACTACAAACCAAAATCTTATAAATCTTTTTCATTTTCAGAAATATACCTGGGGCCAGATTCATGAAACATTTTTACTGTAAGAATTTTCTTTTTAACTGCCTTTTCTTATTATTTTCAATTTAAATATAAAGTTAACAATATTTTGTATTCCCATAAAACATTTCTTAAGAATATTATCATTTTCCTCAAGATTGTTCTAAAGTCAAAACTTAAATAATTCAAATTCCTAATAAAAATGATCGTAAATAACCTCTTAAAATTAACCCTACAACTTGTCTTAAATTCCTAAATGTAAGATGTTAAATTAATGTATTGGGTTGTTTTAAATATGAATCATTACAACATAACAGTAGATCCATATAAAACATTACCATTATTAGTCTTCTTTATTGACCCCAGTGATTATGATTATGTAAACAATCGGCGGTCATGATTATGCTTTTTTGTCAATTTATAATTCCTCCGACATAATTTTTGTAAGCGCATTCATTCAGGACACGTTCATTCTAGAGAGAGAGTGCCAACATTTGCAACGATTTTTTAATTGAGTTGATCAGTTAAGTTTTTTTTTTCCTTCTAACTTTATTTTCCTACTGTTTGATTTACAGTTAACCGATTGAACTTCCCAAATGATTTGCTACAGTGTTTAGCCTCATTCTGACCACTGTCTGAAAGAATCTAGCCATGAGTAAGGCCTATTCATTTTGACAAAATGACAACAGGTTTGGCTTATCATTATGATGCCTTAACAGCTGTTAGGAGAACATTTTGTATGGTAAAGCTCCATTATATACAGCAGAGTGCAGAGAAGAGCTTACAAACTTTCCAAAGACAGAATAACTTAAAACAGAAGTGAAATATCCAAACAGCAAATGGACGATCCTGCTAACAGTTTCAACTGACAGATTTACCATGTTGGTGAGAATTACAAAAGCAAGCAAGCATGGCATGAAGAGCAGTATAGCCAGAAGCTTGCCATCACAACCTCAATGAATATGTCACTATCATAAATAAAATGTCACAAATTGAAATCACATTAGCACAATCTTTATAATGGTGCAGAATGCAGATGACCCATTGCAAAGTCACTGTTTGCAATATTAGTTCTGGTACTCCTTATTGGTTTTGTGGTTTGTCTGGTGGCTGCTCAGATGTACTTTAACACGATCAAGACAACACTAATATCTCTAGAAGAGACAGGAGCGAGAGAACCAAAGAGACTCCTAACTGCTGTAATTGAATGCTCACACACACATGCACTGAAAGAGCTGTTGACTGAGATTTGTTTGTGTGGAGTGTTATTGATCCATATACGAGGGAAAGGTTGGACCCTATGTGTTCTAAAACCCCACAGAGTACAGTCTCTCCCTCTATTCCACACACACACACACACACACACACACACAATCCCTCTGTCTCCACACATGCTCATTCTCTGCTCGAAACAGATATAATAACACAGGGTGTCCATTAAAAACATTACCAATCAGCTCTCTAAACTTATGACTGTAACGTGGAAATTTTCTTTCTGGAGATTATTTGGTTTTCACTCTTGCATATTCCTCCCTCTGGGTTTTGATCTGTGAAGGAATCATATCCTCCCCGGTGTCATGCATTTATGATGAGGCATTTATGGACTGAGCATGTCTGACTACTCACGTTTACTCATGTAGCTGTAATTGTCTCATTGCCCTTTGCTATGTGAAGATGAGTTATATCAACAGGCTGCCTCTCCCTAGAAATCCCAGGAGCTGCGCAAATGTGCATGTTTGTTTATCTAAATAGCTCACATCTGTTTTAGCAGCAGACAGGCCAACATCTGTTCCTCTCCGTAATGCATCTGCCCTGAGTCTGCAGTTCAACATATCACTGCAATATCCCAGCACATCAGATCTCTGCTTCATTCGTCTCCATTAACTGTATTTCTTTCAACCTGTTTTTATTTTTTATTGTGTGTGTGTGTGTATGTGGGTTCATTTTTCATCCAAAAGGTAACCAGCTGGAGGTAAAATATTTCCTCGTAAATGTTAACAACCTCAAGTATTAAACTGTAAATTCAGACCTTCTTCATTGGTCCCATACAGCTCTCCTCTCTTTACAGAGAATAAGACTTTGTCACCTTTCCTGTATTGGTTAGACTTGATCTAATCCAGACGGATGAACATGTCTCCACACACACATTAGCTCTCTTTCTAGTCTTACCGTGCTGTGCAGTCTCCGTCTCTGGCTCCTCCAGGGTTGTTTGAGTTATTTTATTTTCCCTTGATTTTTTTTTTTATTAGTTTAAGTGGTACTCCACCGTTCCTCTGTGCTTTCCAGCGCAACTGTTTTCATATCTCTCTCTCTGCCACTCTAGGTGTACAAGCAGAAGGCGTCAGCAAGTGTATATTCGCTAGGTCGGCGTCTGCGCGAACAGGAGGAAGACTTTGCGGGGAAAGCAGCGAGTTATCAACGAGAGATCCGGCACCTGCAGAGCCAACTAAGAGACAGACAGGAACAACTGCACGGAGCTCTGCAGCAGAAGAGGTAATCCTCTCTCTCACACACACACACACACACGCTTTCTCTCTCCCCCTCTTGTTCTGTGTATAGAAGGATGCAGCAGAAGAGGTGAGAGCAGTAGTGGAGCAGCTGTCACAAAGGCACAAACCAATAACAGACAGTGGAGAGAGAGAGCGAGAGAGAGAGAGGAGGGGCTCTAGACAAGCTGGCACAGCTGCAGGCTCATCTGTCTAAATGTTCCATGTGCTTGTAATTTTGAGCTCCCATATTTACATTTGCTTTCTCTCTCTTTTTGCCATTTACCATTTATTCTTGCTGTTTTTTTTTGTTTGCTTTGGGTTTATTTTACTGTTTCTGACTGCACTCATAAAAAGAAGTTAAATTCAGAAACTAGAATCAGTGGGGCGCTGATCCTTTATCATTTACCTAAGCATTTACCATTTATATATATATACACCGGTACCTTTTTTTTGTTTTTGTTTTTTTGTTTGTTGTTGTTGTTTTTTTCAAATAATGTTACTCAAAACAGCAAAACTGGGTTTTATACATTATAATGATCTATTTGGAAGAGCCGAGAGTTTGTTTTTTTGCTTTCTAAATAGTATAAAATTCTCTGTTTGTGTATCTATATTTGCTTGCAGATGCCACGGACAGTCTTGTAGCAGAAGAGGTAAATCTAGTTAAAAGAAAAAATGGGTATTGCAAAAACATCCTTTCCACCTTTAAAATTATTACCACTTCTTCAGTGCTGACAAGAGCCTATAGGTATTATGTTACAACTCATTGAGCAGCATTTTCAAGGTTGTTGTGGTGCTGTTTATTGTACAAAGTAGAGCTGTTGTTTATTTTGTTGTAAGTCATACATTACAAGTTTTTATAAAGTTCAGTAACATACTCTTTGCAGTGGATCAATAGTTTGAGTGTCAGTATGAGTGTGTATATGCAAGTGTATGCCTGTTATGAAAATGGACATACATAAGCACAACTAGTTACTAACTAACTGAACCACACAGTTGTTATTATTGTTTTAAAGGAAACATATCATGAATATCCGACCTTTTCCGTGTTTAAGTGATATAATCGGGTCCCCGGTGCATCTACCAACACAGAAAATGTGAAAAGTGACAACCCACTTTGTTTTGGAAAAATACGTCGATCAGATTTCGCTCCCCTTTTGATGTAGGAAGGGATCTTACTTTAATATCTCTGCCTCTTAAGGCCCTCGCGCACTAAGCCCACCATTCAAACTGCTTGCTACGGATGTGAAAAACGCAGAAAATTGAATCCGATTCGATTCTTTTTTTAATGAGGGATGAAAGTTTTGAAGACAGTGTGCAAGCGTGATTGACATAACGTGAGGTCGAATTTATTTTTTAATGTGCGAAAATTTCGGACTTGAATTTGAATGTGTGAATGTGTATACACATTGTATATTGATACTGGTCCCACTCAACTCAAGTCTCTCTCTCCCTCTCCCTCTGCCTTTCTCTCTCTTAACCCTACATCAAAGCTCATTTTGAAGTCAGTTCCCTTCCTACGTCTGAGTGTGAGGGTTTTAAATGTCAGCTTTGATATGTCAGTAAAATATTTCTCCTTCAGAAGAATTTGTTTTGCATGTGTGTGTTTGACATTGTGAAGAATATGAAAAGGAAATGACAACTACTTTGTTAATATGAATTATTCTCGCTCTCACTATGCAGCGGTTCACACATCTGCTGAAACCACTTAAATTTTTGGTTATGTTGTTATGATTTAATATTTAAAACAATTGTTCACCAAACTGAGGGGCTGTTTTTCAGGAAGAGATGTGGCATTATTTGGCTGTAAAACCTGTGGTGATTCAACAAATGATCATGTCTGTGATGTGATATTGCCATCACCATAGCTCATGATGCTCAGCTGTCATCACACATGGTTTCTCTTTTTTCCTCTTCATGAGTGCTTTTATAAGTATTTGTGGTGAAATGCTTTCTGGCCTAGTGCTGTGTTTGTTTGTAACTTTGTACAGTATGTTGATTTCTTTTAACACTGGGATGTTCAAATGTATAATGATTTAACACTGTAAACATTATCTTGTTTCCTTTGTTGCTTCTCCTTCATGTGTGAATGATTAATAAACACTCAACTGGGTCATCATAGGACCTTTTCAATTTCAAACAATTTGCATACACACAAATGGAAGATTTATTAAAACATAAACCTATATATATATATATATATATATATATATATATATGAAGAGTTCAGATGCAAAAGCCTCTAAATGCCATTTGAAATTTTCTTCTAAAATGATAATTTTTATCAAGCTTGTATATTTAAGTTCAGTAATTTCACTTAAATGGCAATGAATATTACCTATTAATTGTCATTTAAGTGAAATTACTGAACTTAAATATACAAGCTTGATAAAAATGGTCATTTTAGAAGAACATTTCAAATGGCATTTAGAGGCTTTTGCATCTGAACTCTTCACATATATATATATATATACCATGTTCATGAGCTTCCTCAGTGGGTATTAAAATGACATAAAAATTTAAAACTAAAAGTCTTTTACTTGCCCCCATGTTGCTGCTTACATATTACCTTCTTTTGTGGAGCACAAAATAGTACACACTGCCATTTCAAGGATTTTAGATCTGCGAGCTTTTTCTTTATTTTTTGAAAGAAGTCTCTTTCTTCTTCTTCTTCTTCTTCTTGAGTTTTATGGCGGTTTGCAAACCAACTTTCGGTGCATTACTCCCACCAACTAGACTGGAGTGTGAAGCACTAATAACCATATGGAAATTAAGAAGTCTCTTTTGTTCATGACTCTTTTGTTCATGACTTTTGGTGTGGCTTGGATGATTTCCTTTATCAGAAAGTTCCTGCAGCAGCTACTACTTGTTCCCTGGCTCACTATATTGTTTATGTGCTATGGTTGAGTTGTTCTTCCCTCACTGTCGGTGAGGTTGGTGAAAACACCACCCCCACTCAACCACAGTCACCCTCTTCCACTCCAGAGTCTCGTTCCATCGAGACCGCTCAACCTGAGGTTCTTCACGTCATGGTTACCAAGCCTGAGCTTCTTCACGTCATGTTTACCAAGCCTGAGCTTCTTTACGTCAGCCCCGCCGAGCCTGCACTCCACTTCAGTCCTTTACAGTCTATGCCTCAGTCCCACCGAGCCATCTGCTCAGCCTAAAACTGCCGGTACCGTCCTGGAGTCCTCAGTCCCTTTTGACCCGGTTGACCATCCTGAGGAAGACTCCAGGAGGGCGCACTTTTGTGTTAAGCACAAAAGGAATGACGTGAGGATGAGTAAATGATGGGCTAGTTTGCAGTGCTGTGTGGGGGAGAGAGAAAAGGTTCAAGTGTGGGCCAAAGGTGGAACTCATGGGGATCTAGAGAGATCTAATCTAGCTAATCTGCTGTTCATATTGCTTTTGTAGTCTGCTGAAACATTAGCTTCCAATCATATAGAGATTAGTGTGTGTGCTCAGAGATTTGTGTGTAAGAAAGAGAGATAAAAAGCTTGGTTATATATTGAAATATCACCTGGCTGTGTGAGTGAGAACAGAACGTTTAGAGGGAGAATGAGAAGAGAAAAGAAAAGAAAGGGAAGATTAATGGACATATCTAAATTAGGCTAACGCTCTTTTTTCAATTGATGTAGTCTTCCCTCTCGTTTTATTATTATGGGCACGTGATGTGTCATTTATTGCAATGCGTTCCTCCTCATCCCAGCAGTGTTGAATGACAGCTGTGTGTGGCAGCAGGTCACAGGTGAACCCAGGTCACAGGACTCTTTTATTTCTAAAACATCCTTATTTTAATGTCTTAACTGTCTGTCTCTGTCTCTCTCTTTTTTTTTTAAACTACAGTTTTAAGTCAAGTCAAATATATTTATATAGCGCTTTTCACAATACAGATTGTATCAAAGCTGCTTCACAATATCAATCATGACAACTTAACAGTGTTTGTTTATTTCACTTTTATGCAAGGGACAGACTCTCATAACTAAAGTACTCAGATTGACGTGAACATGGCTGTATTTTGTATCGCTCTGTTGACTCGACTAAAAGGACTGCCGGACGAACAATGGAAAAATGTATTTTTCAAATTATAGCATGCAAAAAGGCTTGTCATTCTAGTAATGTGCAAGCTTTTTTGCAGAAAAGCATAGTTTGATTATTTACAGATTTGTGGATGTATCAGTTATGTAGGATCTGGCATCTGAAATAACAGAGGCACATTTACTTTACAGAGTTTAAAAAAAAGAATATTTGTTTGTGTTTACCTCTCAAAATACACAAATGAATCAGCATACATTTCGCATCTCTCTGCTTGGGATTAGTTTTCATGTGTATTGTGTCTGGGAATTTTTTTCCCCCTCATTACAGAAACTCACACACACAAGTAATGAGAGACTCTAATGCAATTAAAGACCTGTAGCCCTCCTGATCTCATCCTGACCCTTCCGTACTTAATGACACTCCGTTCTCTCTGGGTATAGACGGGTCGTGACATGTTAAACCGTTAATTTGCCTACCAGCCATTTTATGTGTCGCTGTTACCTTGAATTAGTTCCTGTATGTTGCTCTGCAGGGCTGCAGGTCAAATGAAACATTGATTTAATTTCCACACACTCCACGTAGAAGTATTAAATATGATAACATTGCTAAGCATGTCTGTCACACACAAATTATGGCCACTTGCAGTTACATTTAGGGCCAGATGTACGTACAAACGCAGCATTATTAGCGCTAGTGCTGGGCGGTTTGACCCAAAAATGTATCAAATAAAATAATAAAATTATAAAGTAAAATAAACAGAGTTCAGCTAATGTATGTTTCTGTTGATGATGATACACACTTTGGCTTCCCAATTCATTTAAATAGTAATGCTAAAAATAAAATTAAAAACATGGACAAAACAGTCATGTACTAGTCATGTATCATCCGGGTGTTGATAGCGTGCAAGCGCAGGTGAGACCTACAGTAACAGCATACGTTGCCATCTGTGTGACAAAAAAAGAACATTGC